CAGTGGCTCGCTGCTGAGCAAGGACACATTCAAGCACTTCTCAGAAGGCAGGTCTGAAAGGGTTGGAAAATACATGGCAATTCTTTGATGCCACAAATGACTGATCTGATCTTCACCACCCCAAAGAAAAATTCCACCCCACTGAAGTCAGTATCCTGAAAAACACCAAAAATGTTTTCCCTTGTGCTGGAGCTTCACTCCTATGATGCACTCTGTGGCTCTGTTACTGCCTCAGTAAACACAAGCAGCATTCACAGTGTATTTATACAGTTAAAAAAAAAATGGTACCTTACATACTGTTAAGACACAAGCAGCATTCACAGTGTATTTATACAGTTAAAAAAAAAAAAAAGGTACCTTACATACTGTTAAGGCAACATTTTGGAACAAGTTACTGTTGCTTACATATTGTCTTCAACTCTGACATGCTTGCTCATATTTTTTAGAGCAAGCTAAAAAACCAGGAGAAAATGAGTCTTATGTCTTGGAAAACTCCTCTCTGCTTTGTGTAAAATCCTTAATTACAATTGCTAAAAAATGAGGATATATTTTCTTCCCCAAAGATATCCTGAAAAAAAAAAAAAGCTAATTCAATGGATAAACTGAATTCAATGCATATCTAAGTGGTTTAAATTTCCTTCAGTTGTTCCAAAGCAAAGCTGTCCTGATATTTTCTAGAAGACATCAGAAATATACCTATGCAAACTAAAGACTTTACAAATTTTGGAGCCTTCCTGAGGGTTCCAGTCTTTCCAGCTGCTTCCCAGATGGATGCTTATGTGCACAGGACTAAGGCTCACTGAAGTTTTCAGGACTGATTTCTCCTGCATCTTTCCTCCAGCCAAGTGAAGGGCTTGAGAAGGGAGTGCAAAGAGAAGAGGGACTGCTGCATCCCTCCTTTCCAAGGCCTAAGCAGATGTTTTTCTGCCAGTAGGGCTGAGGGCCATAAATGGGCTAGCAGTGGGGTTACAGTTCCCACACAGAGATAGGGACTAAATCCCTATTTACTAAATTTAATAAAATTATGCATTAATCACATTCATTTTTTCCAATCCTTTGCATGTTTCCTTCAAACATTATGAACTACTGACTAACTCATGCTAATTTTTACTATCTTGCTAGCACTTTAGTCTCACATTTTAAATAGTTTGTGTTTTGATTGCACTCTTATAAAAATACTTTCAGATTGGGGGAAGTGGTTTGTAAACCATCATTTAATGCCTTCCAGCCTAGCTTCAGATGATCCTCTCCTTTACTTCAAAAGTGCTGGGGCCTAGCACAATTCAAAGCTCCCTGTTATGGTCATTTCCTTTCAATGTTGAAGAGATGTATTTTTGTTCAGCTTTCTATCTCCATTCAAATTGAGATTACTACTATTAAGATGCATTTGGAGAACAGAATTCTACTCTTTCCTGTTTATTTTTGGCTTTTAGCTAACTATGCTTGATAATTACATGTAACCACTTCACTTTGTAATACATTCCTCATATTTCCCTTCCAGCTGACCTAATACATTCATACAGTAACATACTACAAAGTTCACTAAACCTTTTTTATCTGGAGGCATAACTGGGACTCTGTGTTCACGAATCTCTGAAGTCCACATCAATCCTTCTAAGCAAATGTCCTTTCAAATGCAGATAGAGTACTTTTTCTCAACTCAGTGAAAAAAGCTCCTTTGCTCCTTTATTATGTGCTTTATTATATGTTTCATAATTTAAAATGGTGAGAAATACTCATGCTTAAATTTCATGGTCTTTAAAATCAGTTTTGAATTCATGTTCAACAGTGGGTGAATCAGAGTTGACCCGCCTGTTAAAGGACTATGAATATAATTCTGTCCTGAACTCTGTCCTGAACTTTTGTGGCAGCTTCTTTCGCTCAAGTTTTACTGTGTTTGCCTGTATGGGGTGGCTTTCTTTCCCACAGCAGGTTAAGCATGTTAGGTAACAAAGGCACATGCATAATCTGGAGGTCTCTCAGGCATGCGTGTCACATGTACACATGGATGCATGCCATCCCAATTAGCACGTGGTGGAGTTTTGGACTGTGATGCTCTGCAGATCTGTTACCAGTAACACCCACTTGAGGAGACTTGTACCTCTGACAGCCGCTCAGCCGTTTCCACATAAATGCTCTTATGGCCCAGGTCATTTATCAGAAAAAAAAAAAAAAAAAAAAAAGAGAAAAGAAAGACTCGGTCTTTCTTTCTCGGTCGGAGCCCAGGTGACCTCCTGGCCCCACCTGTAGGCATTCCTAAAGCTTGGGATGTGAGCGTGAGCAGCTGCTTGTGCATGACAGCTGCTCAAACTGTGCTGCTGTAGCAGACACAGCTCCTTCAATTACCTTGAATTAAGTACCAACTAGTGACAACTCAGGGCGCAGACTCTCTGTGATCTAAGGCCCTGATCCAGAAAAGCATTTAAGTGCGTGCTTGTTTATCCTTTCTGTACAATGTTTATAAGCACATGCATAGATGTAAGGACATTTTGAAGTACTATTGAAATAATTTTGTGAGGGACTAGGATAAACAAATCCTGGCCGTGCTACAGAGAGAAATTTGTTAAATAAAATTTTTGTGTTTATCTCTTAGATTTCTGCTAATAGAACTAGGGTGTGGCTTTCTACTGAAATGTCACAGTGCAAGTAAAAATTACTTTGGAAGTCTCTTTAAGACACTGCCTTTGTCTTTTTTCATTCCCTATTTTTAATTAGCAGTTGACCACAAAGAATGCATTTCCCACCAATTCAAAAATAAGGCCAAGCAGCATGTTAGTCCTCATTGCCTGTAATTGCGTATTTCAGAAAACACTGTTACATATTTTGCTACTTTAAAACAAAAAGCAAATCAAATGGTCACACAAAAGATACCTAATCAATCTGCTGCACATCGCTCTGCCATGAAAAATTTATTCTCTCTAGACTGATCAGGGTCTTGTATGAATGCTATCTGGCTTTCATGCCCATACATATGACCAAATGTGTGGCTAAGAGTGATGTTCAGCAAAGTTGCTTGACTATCTGTGACTGGTGAGATAATTCGCTGTTTGGTGCTCCAGTGTTGAATCAGGGTTATTTTTTGGAGGAAAGATGAAGAAGGATGTACCATCTGCTCTTCTTGTTCTGATTGTTACAGGAGTACCTGAATGGCTACTCCTGTAACAATCTCCTGAATGGCTGGCAAAATGCTAGCAGTGTTTTTCCCTGCTGGAAAAAAAAAACAAAAACCAATTAAAATATCCTTGGTCATATAATGCTCTTTGCTCTAAATGGTTGGTGTGACTTAGCAAAAGAAGATGTACTTCATGTGTTACTCCGGAATAATTTGCCTCATCAAAATCCACAAGATTCAGATATACAGTAATGCTTACAAAAGAAGGCAAAATAATTAAGGGTTTTGGCTCTGCCTACTTTCTTCTGGGGGATTTAATTTGCACCAAAAAAAAAAAAAAGAGACAAAAGTAAAGGATGGCACCTTTTCTTTCTTTGAGCTGATGGGAAATTTGCACTCTACTCTAAACCAGAATTTAACCTTGAGACAGATATCTGGGTCTCAGGGGTAGAAAACTGTGTTTAGAAGTAAGAATATAGGAAAGCTAAAGAGACAGTGACTATCTGAGTTTGCAAACAGCCAGAAATGCTTTCATGTGTTGCTTTGTGCATTGTATTTTCACATACACAGCTTTGGAAGGAATGGTCCACATTAATAAAGAAATTATAGTGATCTTTTAAGACCATCTTTGTTCACTCTGTGTACTAAGCCTGAGGGTAGGTCAGGACCACCAGCAATTTAAAAAAAAAACAACCCAAATCAGAAGAAAGCCCTCAGGACAGTAAGCATAATGGTCACTACTAAGGCAGAAATTGTAAAAATGCTATTACTGGATAGTATATATGACTAATATATTTATATAATATATATTGCTAATATAATAGTATATATTACTAATATAATTATACTATATTAATGTATTGTACTTATGTATAACTAATATAATTATATATAATCATACTGGCAAAAGATGGGAAAATTCATCATAGAGAATGAGCTGCAAAAAAACAACACCTTATTCTTCCACTTAAACAAAAAGATACTGCTTTGTAGAGTGACATGCCCTTTACCTCTATTGTCTTTTTATTAAAGGCTTCAATAGATTTTGGCTGTGTTGTTGGGAAGTATTTAATTAAAACAAGTAGGAATGAGCAGGAAGGATAGTTCCACACAATAATGCCGCACACCTTAGTGAGCCACAGATTGTTAGCATTTTAACTTTAAAGGTTTACCCAGTTTAAGCCTTAAAAGTGCTAACAGTTTTGCCATATATTAATTATTTATGCATGCCATGATAAAATTATCAGGAGGAAACTATTGAATATTTTGAGAGCTATAAAAGCTCATTCCTTTAATTTGCACTGGATTAATCTCAATATTTTTAAGACTGTATTAGCAGCAAGGTGTACTTTTTTGAAGATTTAAACACTAGCCTCCTCGGCAGGTTCAGCTGAATTTCACTGTTAAGAGACTTGATACATTCTTCAGCATATTTTTGGTCGTGTAAGGATCACACCTAGAGCACGGTACTAATAACGCCCAGGGCGCAGGTTCGATCCCTGTACAGGCCATTCACTGAAAAGTTGGGCTCAACAGTCCCTGGGGGTCCTTCCAACTCAGAATGTTCTGGTGGTGCTGTGAACACGGCTTATGCAAAGCACGCTGGACGCACAACTTCGGAATGGCCGCCCATGAAACAAGAATGAGTCAATTCAAGCCAAGGGACAATATAAAAGCTTGTGAAGAATCACAGTATTCCATTTTATATTCTCTTAAGCAGGAAGGGCAGAGACACAGGCGGGCTGGCCCAGGGCGGACAGAGCCGGGGCGCGGTGGGTTCGCCGAGGGCTGCGGGACGCGGGGCGCGGCCGCCCCGGCCCCTCGGGGCAGGAGAGGTCCCAGCGTGGCAGTGCCCGGCCGGAGGCTCCGGGACCCCCCCGGTGCCGCCCCACCGCCCGCCTCCGCCGCCACAGGCCCCGCGCCCTCCCCTTCCTCCCCCCGCCCCGCAGGGACCTTTTAAGAGGAGGGGGCAGAGGCTGGAGGGCTTGGCCGGGGGACGGGGCTGCTCCTGAGAGAGCTGTCGGGTTGAATCGGACGGCCAAAACAAAAACGTAACAGGGAGCAGGAAGAAAAAAAAAAAAAAGGCAAAAGACGTCAAAAAAAAAAAAAAAGAAAGAAAGAAAGAAAATAAATAAGTAAAACGGGAGGTGCGGAAGCACGGAAAGGTGGTGGGGGGACAAAACAGAAACCGCAGGGGGACGCGGTGCGCAGCGCGGCGATGGTGCGCCCCGGCGGGCTGTGCCGCCTGCCGCTGCTGCTGCTGCTGCTGCTGCTGCTGCTGCTGCAGGGCTCCCTCCTCCTGCTGGCCACAGCCCGGCACGGCCGCGCCGCCGCCTGCCCGCTCCGCAGAAAGGTAAGCGCCGCCCGGGGTGCCCTCCTGCCCCGGGGTGCCCTCCTGCCCCGGGATGCGCTGCTGCCCCGCCCCGGCAGCGGGGGACGCGGGTCTGTCCCCTCGGGGTGCGGTGACGGGAGGGGGCGGCGTGCGGGGCCGCCGCGGCTGAGTCCCCTCTGTCCCCTCTGTCAGGCGGACTCAGGCGGCGAGGGCTCGGCAGCGGCTTCCCGGGACGGGAAGGCAGGGTGCTGGGAGCGTGCATGGGGGAGGAGGACCCTGGGGTGAACCCCGGCAGGATCTTTTGCCTGCGGTGAGCAGGACGAGCTGCGCTGCCCGCCAAACGACAGACTGGCCGGGAGTGACTTGCTAGTGCCATCCCGCGCAGGGTTACCGCCTAGTCCCACTTCAGAACGCCGAGCGTGCTGGAACAGGTTCGGAGCAGGAAATGGCCATTTGGTGTGAAAACGCGGTTACACGTTATGTTAGGTTTTGCTCGTCTCCTAAACTTAGCAGCTTGGCTGCAGTAGCTAGGAGCAGCATGCATGGCTTAGCTCCAGTGTGTGATTAGCACAGCAGAGGATCCCTGCTGCAAGTTAGGGGTGATGTTATGGGCCGCTGTGAAGCTTGTGTAGACCGTGTCTGCCATTTCCACGAAAGATCAGAAAAAGTCGTTCTTGTTGAAGCTTGATGCTTCTGAGCTAAAAGTACCAAAAATCATGTAGGAAAAGCCTTCTTGAGCTAACTTTGTGTTAACAGGCCATCTGTGCTGTCTGTTGGCATCTACTTGGACCTGACGTGCTTCTGGGATATGTGTACCGTCACTTCAGCTTCCCTCCCAGGTTAATTCCACTCTTAAGGAAACTGGAAGCCCTTAGAAGTCTAAGTGCAGACCTGCTGCACCGGGGAGGTGCCAAAGCCACAGCAGGCTCACTGCAGGGTAGGTGTGAGAAAGTTCTGCAACTGGAGAAGGTCTGATCTGTGACTTCACTCTGCTCTCTCACCTGCTCATGCACCTAAATGTAGCCCTTGTTCTTGGGGGCCTTCCTGCCTCTGTGAGCATGCTGGTTCCCCACAATATCTTCTCCTAGGATTTAGGGCGTTATGAAATCAGCCACATGCCAAGCTACATGTGCTTCACTAGAGGTGTCTGTCTGAGCTTGAGTTAAACAGAGCCCAGCCCTGCCTTGTGCGATGGTGTCGTTACAATTTGCTGGGAACCAGTTTGTCGGCTGGATTTGTAGGTGGCTAGCCGTGACACTGCCATAAAGCCAGGTCAAGCCTTTGGAGTGGGTAGCCCCTTCTCCTTGAGGGCATGAGGTACAGAAGATGTGGGCTGGTATGAAACTACTGCAAGGAGCTAGTGAGAGCAAGTACAAAGAGGACAGCTCCTGAGCAGAAGTCATACTTGTGGAAATGGATTACTTTACAGGTTGGGTGGGACATGCAGGAAGTTTTTTTTCAGAAACAATTGACTGGACTTCTGCCAGTTGCTAGCAAGACTGAAGGTGAAATGTGTTAATGGTAGGTAATTATCTGCTGATTACGCTGTCATTAAAATGTGAGACCACCTGTAGTTCTGGAATAGGCCGTTTCCGAGGGTCATTAGGACAATGGTAATAACCACACTGTCTAGGAATGGCAGTGTCTGCCTTATTTACAAAACTCTTGAGTTTATCATTACGAATATTTACATTAACTCCTTAGGGAAAATACACTGTCTCGTTCCCGCATCACCACGGATGGGTTTTTAATTTACTTTAGTTCTTTATAGGATTCCTTTTCTTACCTCTCTTAGACAGGTCTGACTTTCTTCTTTTTGTTAAGTTGCCTCAGTGTTTGCCATGAAAGAAGTTTGTGCGTTGTTGTCTGAAAAGCTGCTATTTTAAGGAGTGAACCTACAGTATTTTAGGAGACTTTATCATCATGATTCAAAATTATAGATAAAGCTACAACCAATAATGTGCCTTATCATTCTCAAAAAAAAAAAAAGACATTGAAAACAATTATTTTAAAATAAAGTATGCTGAAATATTTTTGGGGTGTATTCCAGATACTATAATGTGGTCTGGTACTGCTTACTTTTTGCTTAACATTGGAGTGCACTGGAAAAATCAAAGCCAGAAATCAGGGATTAATTGTGGAATGCTTGTCGTTGTAGTTGGTTAGTATTTTATGATGTGTTTTTTCTCATAGAGGGCCAATTAATTTATATGGCTGCTTTTACCCATATATGTCCTTCAGCAGAGCAAGTCGTATGTCTGTTCTTAACCTGTGGCTTTTTAGTTAAAAACTTCTTTTTTTCATTTCTGGCACTTTGGATATGTTCTTTTAGTAGCTGTAGCCAGGTGTTTATTCCCCAAGTGAGTTCTACTTTCAGTCTTAAGCTGAGTTTGAGAGTGTCAGTAACACAGGTGGGCAAAAGCTCAAGTATTACTAAAAAAGTGGCTAACATTTTTGTGTGCATTACTGTAGTTGCATGGGCATGTAACGTGGTGAGTAAAATCTTTGCCCCAATTAGGTATAAAGGAACATGACCAGATAGGATGCCAGGATAGATAAGAGAGAGGGAGAAAGCCATAATAGGTAGGGTTATAGGGCTGCCTGCCTGGGTGAAATATTGCATGCCATGTGCTTTGGCTTCTGTAGCTAGCAAGAAAAATAAGGCACAAGAATATTGTGGATTGAGAAACAGTGCAGTTCTGGGCTGAGGTTTGGAAGGTGTGGTTGTGAGGTCAAGTGGTGAATATTAGGGGTCCTGAAAGACAGTGAAGCCACGGAGGGCATCTGTCTGCACAGTGAGGTATACACTTTGTGCTTTGAAATGCATAGTCTACACAGATGAGATAGAAGATGGAAGGAAGCAGAACTCATGTAGAAGGAAGCAGACCAAGTCTAGGTTGTCCATGTCTGGAGTTCTCGTCCAGTTCTTCAGTCTCTAGACTGTTTTCTTTTCCCTCGGAGCCTTCATTCCCTGCATCACCACAGCCTTCTGTTTATACTTACACTTTTCTGTTTAGTTTTTTATACTGTCATGCTCTTCTAGATGTTTGGAGTGCTGTCACTAGATAAATTCTTTGCTCCTCCTGGTGTTTTTCTGAATTGTTTTCTGGATGTTTGCCAATTTTACTCTTGTTAGTATGTAATTTAGCCCAATTTGAAATAGTTTCTGTTGGGGAAAAAAAAAAAAGACACTTTCTCTGATTTTCTTTGGTATTTCTCTTCCAGAAAAATCACTGCTGTCTCACTTGAAGCTGTGTATGATATCTGACAAACACAGTAGTATTTGTGTATTTGAAGACTATAGGTTGCATCCTATAATGGATCTCTAAATAGTGCTGGAAAAGCAAGCTGTTGGTGCTAGTTAAAATGAACAAAATCTGAGGCTTGGGGTTTTTTAATCAAAAAGAAGGAATCTCAGCTCCCAAGGAAGTGCCCTTGATGTGCACCATGCTTTCACAGAATTTTTGCAGTGGCTGACACTCTTGTCCTGTCACATTGGGGAAGTGTTGTCCATCCCTGTGTGTCTCCATTGCACCTCAGTGGATGGTCGAGTTTGTCCTGTGTGCAGCCTTAGTTAAGAAGGAGGCTTTCCAAGTCTTGTGGAAGGGAGTGGATCCCACAAGTCCCAGTGCATTCTCTGTGACAGTGTCAGCTTTTTCACCGGGGGAGGTAAGGCAGAGGAGAAGGCATCATGCTGTAGTGCTGAGCATTCAGAAATACCTTGATCTGATGATTCCTTGGACCTTTGTGTGGCAGCAAGTTGGGAGACCTCTGTTGTCTTGTGAGACTTTCCCCTTGCTCAGGGTTTTTCCTGGGACGAGTAATGCATTGACTACCACCTGTAAATTGTAGAGTGGAGACAGAACAATGTATCTATGCATCTTGATCTGTTCATGAACCTTTTTGTTGTTACGCTGCTGGAACTGAAATTCTTCAAGCTGCACAGCCCAGCTGCCATAAGCCTCCAGGACAACAATTTGACTGTAATTTGTTTCTTTTAAAGCACTTTTTTTTTTGTTTTGTTTTTTTTTTTTTTTGTTGCAGCATCTATGTTAAAGGATCTTATTGCAGATGAAAATTGGGCTGTAGCACTTTTATCTACTGCTTGCTCTCAGGGAAGTGAGGTGGCACAGTCATGGTGTAAGGTGTGATGCTGAACAAGCTTCGGCATTGCTCCTGTGGTATTTCATGGCTACCTAGGGCACTGTTTAACAGCTTCCCTTTTATGGTATTGGGGTGAGATTATATCCTTGCCGTTCCCTCTCTGAAGCTGCATTGAGACATGCAAGAGCTCCAGGAAGTCTGCAGGGAGATGGGAGAGCCTGAAGGTACAGCAGGGCAAAACAGGCCCGCTCATGCACACCAAGGGCTTTGCCCCTTCCCCACTCACACAGGAGGCTGTTTGCAGGGTCTGGCACAGAGGCAGAGCACTGCTAGGATTCCAGTCTCCACTTTGGAAGGAAAAGGAGATGCCAAAGGAGTGTGAGGCACTAGCATGTCCAGAGCAGTGGTAGTGTCACCTTTTAGAGGGAGAGTGAGCTTTGGCAGCTCCCCATGTACCATCACTTGGTGATGATAACACCTGCTGGTGCCCAGAAACTTATTCTGCAGGGTCTGGGGAGTTTCCCTGTCAGTGGTGGGACACTGAGGTTTTATGTCCTCTCATGCTGGCTCGAAGCTTTCTGTGGAGGTCTGAGTGGTGCTTAGGGTAATTTCTCAAGTTCATGACTACTTTTGACATGCGAGTGCCAGCAAGAGTGCTCAGCTGCATTGCTTTGTAATGTCAGGGTGTTGAGGACTGTGTGAAAATTTTTGCTACATCTGCTTTCCTTCTGCCTGTGCTACAGGCTCTTTAAAGGAAAACTTCATGTACTCTGTGCCTAATGGCCTGTTTATTTCTTCAGAGGTACCACTGGTACCAGGCAGTTATTACCCTGCTTACAGTATCCGATTATGAAAGTTGTGGGAATAAGCAGAGAAAAAAACCCCAGACCATAATGCCAAAAGCCTTTCTAGCTGGGCTGTGTGCAGTAGTCCAGAGCAGTGCTAATGATTGTGTTAAAGTCTGTTACAAGTCATCTGGGCTTGAGCCTCTTGCTGGATTTATTGAGGAGCTGAAAAGCTGGCTGGTGACCACTTGTTCTGTACGATTCCTTGAAGTTGTAGCTGGTTTTGTGCATTCTCACCTACACGATCAGACCTATGTGAAGAGAAGTATTGACCTCCTAACCTCATGCCTGTCCTGAGTGCCTCCTCTGTCTTTATACTTGCAGTAGATGGAAAGCAGCACTTCTGGTCCTTCCTCCTTGCTGCCTGACCACTACTTCCAGTTCATTTCTCACAACAGTGATGTGCCCTTTCATTTTCCCCTTCTGACTAATGTTGGGGGAGAATCCTCTCTATTTTCCCTCTTGTTTTACTTTGCATATTCATTCTTCTGTTTTCTTCCCGGGTCTATGTTAGATTTTTACTCACCTGTTGCGCTGTTATCTTTGGTACCCCCTGGGGCTCCTCATGTTTCTTAACCCTTGTTCCTATGGTCTTCAGGAGAGTTTTTGTGCTCTGTAATTCAGGTGTAGGATTTGGAGTTGTAGGATGGTGTTGCCAGGATGTGAAGTATCCTTCAGATTCTTTATATGATGCAGAACAGTCTGAAGAGCCCTTTGGAATATATTTGGTTTGTACAATGCTCTTGGGCACATGGTAGAGTTCTTGGGTCTCTCCCATGCAGCTCCAGGAGTTGGACTTCAATGATCCCTGTGTCCCTTTCAGTTCAGGATATTCTATATTGTATAGTCTATGCGGGTGAAGTGGACTGGTGGTAGCACTTTGCTGAAGTACTGCCTGATCTGTGGCCTGGTTTTGATGTACAGAGCTGCTGGAGAAGGTTGTCTGGGATGAGCCATTGCAGAGCAGTCTTTAAGATTAACCTTTCTGACCCTGAGTCTTTAGTATCAGAAGTTTATAGGCAATGTGCTTCCAGTAAATTCCTCCAAGCAGCCTGTTCTGCTTTTGGCAGTCAGGCAGGCTTCTTAGATCAGCACACATGCACAGTTTGCCCCAGTGCTGAGGTTAGAGTTATCTGCTGGCTCAAGACTGACCAGATGTTTGAGCGTAGCTGGAAGCCTGTTCTCTTACTTAGACATGCAAAGGCTACCTCTTCCTGTCTGTGCAGACAGACACCGCTTGTATCCATTGTTCCAGTAAGTACTGTGCCACCAGTGGGGTGCTGTAGGCTGTGCCCGCTGCTGGTGTAAAGTGAGTTGAAAGGATTCAAGCAGGATCGATGTTGTCCCATCTGCTCTTCTGTCCTGTGGGAACACCACAAGCCTGTATTGAGGTATCTCAGGTGATGCTGTGAAGTATTTTCCAGCAGAACAAATTTAAATCTGATTGTGACTTCCTGATGGCTGTGGGTTTGGAGAGGCTTTAAAAGCCAACTTTTAAAAATATGCTTTTTTTATCCCTCTGTGTTTACTTTATCAAGTTAATACCTTGAAACCACAGGCCTGCAGAATTTTTTTCTCACTTATTTTCCAAGGTATTGCACGCTCTTTTCTGCTACTCAAGAAAGAGTATTGGACCATGAGGGGTCTTTACTGGGTGTCTGTCTGCCATGTGAAAAAAATTTTTTCTGCCTGTTCCAGCAGGTCTGCTTGCCAGCTGTGTTTTGTGTTACTCATTTTCTTGGTGTCTTGCTGTTGTGTTATAATCCCAGCTGTCAACCAAACATTGCAGTCATTAAATTCCCATTCCATGCAAGAGAGGTTGCAAGAGAGTACTGGAAGGGTGAATTGTTGGGTTCAGATAATGACAACTTAATAGCTAAAGCAAAGTCATGGACACAAGCAAAGCAAAACAAGGAATTAATGCATCACTTCCCAGGGCAGGCAGGTGTTCAGCCATCCCCAGGAAAGCAGGCTCTATCACACGTAGCAGTGACTTGAGAAGACAAACCCCATCATTCTGAACGTCCTCTCTCCTCTTCCCCCATCCTCCCCAGCTTTTTGTGCTGAGGATGATGCCATATGGTATGGAATATTGCTTTGGTCAGTTAGGGTCAGCTCTCCTGGCTATATCCCCTCCCAGTATCTTGTGCACCCTCAGCATGTATGCTTGCAATCATACGACAGGGAGAAAAGGCCTTGACTCTGTGCAAGCATTGCTCAGCACTAACAAAAACATCTCTATAATATCAGCACCGTTTTCAGCACAAATCCAAAACTCAGCCCCATACCAGCCACTGTGAAGAAAATGAACTCCACCCCAATCAAAACCAGCATAGTCAAATGGGAAGTTCACCCATGATGCTGCACCACCTTCTGACTAAGTGTCACAGCAGTTTCTTTGATGAAAGGTGCCTTGCTGTGCTGAAGTGAGAGGTGAAAGTGACAGAAATCCTGCTGTCCTGATTAGCTTCAGCAAGTGGTGCCAATTTTTGACTTGATGAAAGGCAGAAGTTGGGTAAGTATTGTGCCTGAATCATGGTGTGCTAGGGCTGTGCTCTACTGCTGCTTTTGGTAGATACCCAGATGATGTATCAGGTTGAGAAGACACAGTGTTACCTTTCAGGAGGAGAAAGCCCAAGACAATATTCTTATGTTTTTATTTCATGAAAATGGAATTTTTACCTAAGGACCCGAGAAAAACAATGGTCAAAGAGGACTTTATGTGAGCAAAGTCACTTTAGGAAAAGTCCCTGCTGGCAATCTGCTAAGCCAGGTGACCTGCTGGCTTGGCAGCATGTTTTCCTTAAGCCCTCTGCTCCAGTGGCCTGGCATAAATGTGTGTACTTACTCAGCTGTGTCTCCCTTTCTCCCAGCAAAATGAGCTGAACTCCTTCCTGTGGACAATCAAGAGAGATCCCCCATCTTATTTCTTTGGCACCATCCATGTCCCATACACGCGTGTCTGGGATTTTATCCCAGAGAACTCCAAGAAAGCCTTCCAGCAGAGCCACATCGTGTACTTTGAGCTGGATCTCACTGACCCCTACACCATCTCAGCTCTCACCAGCTGCCAACTCCTCCCGCAGGGGAAGAACCTCCAAGATGTGTTGCCCCGAGACATCTACCGCCGGCTGAAGCGGCACCTGGAGTATGTCAAGCTGATGATGCCATCCTGGATGACCCCAGACCAACGGGGCAAAGGGCTGTATGCAGACTACCTCTTCAATGCCATTGCTGGCAACTGGGAGCAGAAGAGGCCAGTCTGGGTGATGCTGATGGTGAACTCCCTGACAGAGGTAGACATCAAGTCACGAGGTGTGCCTGTTCTGGATCTGTTCCTTGCCCAGGAAGCAGAGCGGCTGAGGAAGCAAACGGGCGCTGTGGAGAAAGTAGAAGAGCAATGCCACCCGCTCAATGGGCTGAACTTCTCCCAGGTGAGATGGAGTGGTGTGCAGGGTGCCAGGCTAGCTGCTGAGCTGGATGTCACAGCAGAAACAGCATGGTCTGGGGTGTGGGTTAAGTGACTTTTACCTAGAGACTTGTGTCTGCTCCCTGCAGCCCGTGCCTCTGCCTGCATCCTCAGGAGAATTTGCTAGCACAGGATCAGGCCAGAGCTGAATTCATCCAGGTCTGGCCTGGGAAGACCCCTGTTCTCTTCCTTGGGCATGTTCTATGCTCAGAGACCTTTGGATGTGTGCTCTCCAACTCTGACTGGGCTGCCCTGCAGGAGCTCAGGACAGGCTGGGGCTCAGGCTCCAAACTTGTTTTTGTAATACCAAGTTAAAAAGAATGAAGTGATTACTTGGGGAAAGCAGGGGTGCTGTGAGTTGTGCTGAGAAGTAATTGCTGGTTGGAAAGCATCACAGTGAATATTTTGATGCCCTCATAAACAGGGGCCCATCATCTGCAATGGGAAAAGTATTTTTTGTTTGTTGTGGTTTTTTTTCCCCTTTCTTTGTTACTAGGTGAGGGTCAGCACAGCACAGCTTTCTTCAGGGAGCTGCACTGACTAGTGCAGGCCCTGGTGCAAATGCCTTTGTGTCTGCAAACCTGTTGGAGTTCAGCACTGTTTTTCATGCAGCAGAATGACCTCTACATTTTCCATGAAGTGCTCCTCTCTGAATAAAATACTCCAGGCAGTAGTGTCTGTTGTTGTCTCTGCCCAGTGGGATCACAGGCATAACATTGCTGTCTGACGTGGGGTACCTTTGCTGCAGGGTGGTGCTAGTTTGGGGAGTGGAGTGGCATTTGCTTAGCAATAATCAAGGCTTGCATTTTGCAGTATGCCCTAGAAGCACAATATGGAGGACCTTTAGTCATAGGGCTGGGGAGTTTTGACTGATACTCAACCTTCTCCCCTGCATCCTGAAGCCTGTCCTGTCGCTGATGCACGATTTGGAAGGGAAAGAGCAGAAGGCAAGTGCAGCACAGCAAGGGCAGGGACAGCAGCCCTGGACAAATGTCTGAATAGCTGTGATCCCCCCTAGACAGCGTTGGTGTGGGGACCGTTGTGCAGGGAATAGCACAGCAGCCTAGTGTGCATCACTTGAGCAGTTCTTAACTGCCTGCAGGCCTTCTGCACTTCTCTTTTCCATTGTTTGGAGCTGGGCAACCTCATTTGCATCTCCAGTAACTTGCTTAACACGGTGCTTTGAATCCTTATGCTGTTGCTGTTTGCTCACAGATAGATAACCTGGGAATAGGCTGGGAAGTCCCTCCTTTTCCAACTCTTACCTGGTTGAGGATTTATAAGCATTATTGCCCATGTTTTTCTTTTGCTGGCATTGCCCCTATAGTTTATGATAGAAGTGGAGGTGTGGGCATTTTTCTCCACTGCCTTTTAAGAAAGTGGTAGGGGGACTAAGATATGTTGACTGCAAATGATATCCCTGCTAAGCTCATGTAAATGTTGACTCTTAGGCCTTCACAGTTTTCTACAAAGAGCAGCTGGTTTTGTGCTGTTTAGCAGATGGGATAAATACCAAGTGATCCATGGCAAGGGACACAGAACTGCAATATCCAGAATTGCCCAGCCTTCTGAAAAGGCCAGAGAGACAAAAACTTCAGGAGAATCTAGCCTCTAGTTAGGAAAATCATACCCTTTGGTTGCCCCATGGTGAGTGGAGATGTGCATTTGCATCATGAAGGCTGCAGCTCCTTCCCTACCTTCTCACTTCCTAGGGAAGGGGTACGCTGTCCCTTGAGGGAGAAGGTCTGGAGCAGCTACTGCACTGCATATTCATACCTCCACTGCTGCCCACTACTAGATTTCCAATACAGGCAGCTCAAGGAAAAGGAAAACCAGAGGCAGATTATTTTTGTGCTTCTAAGCCAATTTCATGTCTGTTTCAGAAACTGACTTGTGAACTCTCATGGTTGGCAGTTGTGTAAGTTTGATTTCAGAGCTTGCTTGTCAGGTTGTTCAGGCAGTAGAGTTAATTACGTGTTTAATAGAAACAAAACAAAGAATTTGAAGTAGGCTCTTTGGAAAATATTTTCTTTAGTGTGCTGCTGTTTGGAAACCCCCAGCATTGGGCCACTTCTGTGCAAACACACAGGCATGACTTAGAAACTTCTGTTGGGGAAAGTGGAACAAAACCCATAAGGAAGAGTCTAAAAATGTACAAGAAATATCATAGAATCACAGAATGGCCTGAGTTGGAAGGGACCTTGAAGATCACTTAATTCCATTCCTTCTGCCATGGGCAGGGACACCTTTCACTGAGACCAGGTTGCTCAGAGCCCCATTCAACCTGGCCTCAAACACTTCCAGGAATGGGGCATCCTGCTTCTCTGGGCAAGAAGTTATTTACCACTCTCACAGTAAATAACTTCTTCCTATTATCTAACCTAAACCCACTCTCTTTCACTCTGAAGTCATTGCCCCTTGTCCCTTGTAAAAAGTCTTGTAGGCTTCTTTCCCATACTGGAAGGTGCATTATAGGTCACCCCAAAGCATTCTCTTTTCCAGGGTGAACAATCCAAATTGCCTCAGCCTTTTTCTATAGGAGAGGTGCTCCTTTCTTCTAATCCATCTTGGTTGCCTCCTGTGGACGTACGCCAACACATCTGTGGTGCTGGGACCCCAGAGCTGGGTGCAGGGTTCCAGGGATCTCAGCAGAGCAGAGGGGCAGAATCCCCTCCCTCCCCTGCTGCCCACGCTGCTTTGGATGCAGCCCAGGACACGTTTGGCTTTCTGGGCTGGGAGTGCCCATGGCTGGGTCATGTCCAGCCTTTCACCCACCAGCACCCCCAAGTCCTTCTCCCCAGGCTGCTCTCCATCTGCTCATACCCAGGGATTGCCCTGACCCAGGTGCAGCACCTGGCACTTAGTCTTGTTAAGCTGCATGAGATTCCTGTGGACCCACTTGTCAAGTTTGTCCAGGTCCCTCTGGATGTCATCTAGGGAGATGCTTCTTTTCTTTTCACAGAGAAATTATTTAATTATTTTCTTAGCAGAGAAGCAAGTTCAGTGTTTTCAGTTTGTTTCTGCATAGGGTTTGCTTTTTCTTTCGCATCCAAAATTATTCTTCTGGCTGGTAAGGCAGACTCCCAAGCCACTCCAAACCATACAATGTTACTGGCTAGGTCCCTGGTTTTATCCATTCTATTGACCAAGGCCTTGTTGGTGTATGTTATTTCAGGTGAAGGTCTGGAACAGTTTATTGTTCCCCAGGCACAATGCTCAGTTACTGGAAAGTACAGACAAACCCAAATTAGGAACTTCCTTCTCCCCGAGAAGAGAAAACAGTAAAAATGAAAAAAAAAAAAAGCCAAAAAAACCCACATAAAACAGCCAACAGTGCCTGTCAAGGGGCTCTTTTTCTTTGGGCTTTTGAACCAAAGATTTTTGGTTTATGACTCTCTTATGTTACCTGCCAAATCTCTCTGTTCACGCTCAGCTCAGGCTGTCTGCCCACACTGCCAAATCATAAAAGCATCATTTTTTTTCAGTACACAGTGATGTGTACACAATCTGTGAAATGCTTTACTGCCTTTTCAGTCCCTCTCTCTTGTGGTATTCACATTCTCTGAACAGAGAGAGACATAATTCTCTGTCCCAGGATTTTTTCCTGGGGAAGGCAGTGGGAAAGCTCAGAGAAAGAAGGAGGAAAACAATTCTTATCTCTACTTGCTGCTCTTGTTGTTTGGCACATGTGGACTGTGTTATGGAAATTGTTTACCCAAAGGGATTTGTTAATTGGACTCTGCTGATGGTTGTTTGGACTGATTGACCAGTTGGATCAAAGCTATGTCGTAAGTGTCTGAAAGGGTCATGGGTTTTTCTTTAGTATAGTATAGTTTTAGTATAGAGTATAGTAGTAGTATAGCTTACTAAAGCATTTCTTCAGCCTTCTGAATCATAGAATCAGAGCACATTATTCCCCGGATGGGGGTCGCTTTTCTATGATACTCTCTTGTTCCAAGATCTGTGTAACTTCAGGAGTATGCAAAGATTAGTGTGTCTCCATGCCAGCGCCATGGTGTTTATTTTTCCTCTTGCATGCTGTTTCCATCCTAGTTTGTCTTACAGACTTGTTCTCCCACTCCACCTTCTTGGCTAGGTAGTGCCTCTCTTGTCACAATACCCTGCATAGGTCTCGTTCCTAGCTGTGTCTGGGCTTTGTAGCTATGTATGATCTGCCACTGCTGACTTCCAGCATGGAGTCAGTTCCTCCCAACTCTTCCTTTACAGTCATGCATGTGCTTACATGTTTGCTGTATTGCGGGCATTAGTGCTCCAGCACAAAACAGCTTTGCTGTTGGCTTCCGTAGTGTCATGAACATCAGCTTAGTACTGGCTCAGATGATAAGCAAGTGTTGCCCCTTGTACTGTGCCAGACACTTGCTTTGGTATGCTAAGGTGATGTCCAGGCTGTATTCCTCACAAACTGGTCTCTGCTTGAACACAAGAAGGTTAGACTTATGTCTGTGTCTGTCCCATGGTTAAGTGTGTAATCACTGTCAAGCCATCACTGCTTCCTAGCCATGACCCTGGCCAGTTTGGCTTTTTCAATACTGGGGCACTTGGTAGAAGATTCTTTTACCTGTTCTTGATTTGAAAATTTTTTCCCCACATGACTTTCCTGTGGTTATACCTTGTCACAGCATTCTTCCTAACTGAGTGTCTGATTACATTGCTGCATATTCAGATGCAGTCTTCAGAGCTGCTTGGGATGCAGTAGGAAGCTGGGAGCCACTAAGGGCTGACTGCTCATGAAATCCTGGCTCCTGTTGCCAGTGTTCTGGCTGTGAAGTGACAATTAATGCTTGACATTGCCTGTCCATGGGGACGCCAACTATTGTCAGCGTTGAAAGAGGCAGGAACAACTGAGGGTTGATTAGAAGCTATTTATTTAGAGTGTCTGACGTAGTTGCATTTAGGAAGGTCAACCTCAGAAGACAAGATAATGCAGAAGACATACTAATATAT